TTTCTGAGAAATTTTATTCTTTTTAACTGTTCCATTGATCTTTTATTCTTTCTTTTAATTCCTCACTTACTGAGCAATCACTATGTGCTAGGAACTATTCTAGAAACTGAGGAATAGAGTGTTGGACAAGGAATAATTCTTGCCTTTGAGGAATAATTTATAATCTAGAATAATACTAATAGAATATTCTAGGATGATGGAAATATTCTATATCTGCATTATCCAATGCAGTAGCCACTAGTTATATGTGGGCTATCAAGCAATTAGAATGGTTACTGTAACTGAGGAATTAAAATTTTAATTTTATTTATTTTTAATAAATTAAAATTTAATTGTATGTAGCTAGAGGCTAGTATATCGGAGCAAAAAGGGCGAGAGATAAAGAAGCAGATTTTAACAGCATCATATGCTAAGTTTTATAATAAGATGGTTGGTTGGATTGGTAAATAGGTTGGGATTAGTTGTAAAAGGCTTTGATTGTGTTAGATTATAAGGGGCACCAAACACAAAGGAAACTTCAAATTCAAGACTGACAGATTCAGCTGGTAAAGAAATAATAAGCCCTTGTTAGATTCAGACAGTTTATTACTTACATAGATAGTGAAGGCAAGAGAGGCTGAAAGTGCCGGTTATCCAAGTCCTTGTCTTACACCCTGAAATAATGGCATTGAAACAAAAAGGGCCCCATGACTTCAACAGAGCTGTGAGGTACTCTGTTGCTGAGAAACCAACTCCAGACTGCAGCAAATGGGCACAGAGCCTGCGGCTCTGCCCTTGAAGGGGCGTGGGGGTGAGACAGAAAGTCCTATGCCTCTCTGGAACCAGAGAGCTAGATGAGGAAGCTGTCTCGTGGCAGTCTGCCATAAGACAGGGAGAGACAATTAAGAGCTACAAACCTCCACTTATAAAAATAAATCAATCATCAGGAATATATAGCCAATAATATTGTAATAACTTTGTATGATGACAGGCAGTAGCTAAACCTTTCTGGGTGGTCATTTGGTAATGTATATTCATTTGTTGAATGTTGTACACCTGAAACAAATATCACATTTCAGTTATATTTCAAGATAAGAGAAGCAGGTGAGAAAACCATCTTGTGAAGCCTCCCCTAAAGACTGCCTATCTTGCTATGATCCTGACAGAGTCACAGGCATTCCATCCTGATTTAGGTCATGGTGGTTCAAGTTTTGCCAGTGGATATCTGGAAGCTCTCCAGGGTGTGGGCACGGAGCCTCTCCCCTGCAAAAGGGCTCGGTGCGGGGCCAGGGGATTTACAGTTTACCTTTAAATGACTCTGGCTGTCATTGGAAGTGTAAAGCAGGAGACTGATTGGATTACTTTTGTGTTTTGTAAAGATCTATCTGACAATATTGCAGAGATTAGACTGGGGAGTGCAAAAGACTATAAACAGGGAGGAAGAATTGGGTAAATGGGCGAGAGTTTATGGGAATGAAGTGGACAGCACAATTGATAATCATTTAACTAAATACATGGTTGTAAAGGACTCCGTGCGTAGCAGGTGGGACAAAGACAAATCAGACCAGATCCTGCCCTCAAGAAACTTAAAGATGAAGAGGAGAGCAAGAACCCTGCATAAATGGCTCTAGTATGAGGTTTAGTAATATATTAAGTGCCCTGAGGGGCATGGTGGAGAGGCCTCTTCCCTGTGCACAGTAGGTGCTTTATTGATAATGATGACAATACAGCATTGGACAGGATAAGCTTAGACTTCTTACAACTTATTGTGAAAGTCTATGAGGATCTGGTTCTGAGGGACAATAAGCCTTCTTAACTGACAAAGATATTAATCTCTATCATAATATGTGGAGCAGCTGGGACCTGAATGAGAATAAGACAATAGAAATGATGAAATACAGGGAAAGCAGGAACTTAAAAATTCTTCAAAAATCAGACTATTGGACCTTTGGACATGTTTGCAAAAGGCAAATGCTTACTAAAATATAGAAGAGGGACATAATAAATAACAAAGTGTGAAAAATTCTTGAAAAAGCTATTCTTTATTACAATGTTCTTCTTGTCCCATCCATACTTGACAATGCTTTTTTATGCTGTCCATACTTGGCAATGCTTACAAATAAAAGCAAAGTGTCAGGTGGCAGCTGAGTTGCAGTGCATAAGAATTCATTTTTTGGAACCCGAATTTCCCTCTGATTTTCTCTTACACCAATAGAGTTTGTCCACCCCCTTAACTCATTTCATGAAGCATAAAGGGAGTTTGGAGTAAGTAAATCAGGAAGGAGAGGCAAATATGATCAGCCTCCCACTCTCCTCTCCATGCAACGTAGTGCTCACTAACTGTCAAGAGCCTCTTCTATCTTGCATCCAAAACTGAGAATGAACTCAATCAAATGAATATGATCCTTTTGATGAAAAACCTGTAAAGGAATCACTAATAGGACTGCTCAGTCACCATCCATCACTGGGTGCACTAGCATCACATGACACTTGAAATGCAAAAACTTTTTTCCTTAATTAAGAGCTCTAATGGAACCCCCTCATTACATTTTGCAGAACCTCAGAATTCCTCAGAACCCTAGTTGAGAAACCCTAGTGTAGAGGTACAAAGTCTTCTTTCACATGTGTGTGCATGCACACAAACATGTGTGGTGTTGTGTGTATTTTAATTCTGGACTCTTCTTTAATTCTGTTTCTTGACTCTATAAGGGAGTGATGACACATAGGCTTGATACATCTGAGATCTGTTAGACTTACAACCAACTTCTGGAAAGGCAATCCATCCAATTTTGCCTGGGATCTCTACCAGACCCTCACGAGGGTACTCCCTGCCTTGTCAACTTGTGAAAGATGCTGACTTTATTTAGCTTATATTCCAAGGGTAAGGACTATAGGGTAGCTGATCATCTGGTCCCTTCCTACTCTTTCATGGGGAAACCTGAGACACCATACATAAGCACACACTGTTGACCTGTCAAGTGTCCTCTGTCGCTCTCTCTCTCTCTCCTTCATTTTTTTTTTTTTTTTGTCTAAGTCATATCATTCTCTTTAGAGAACTGCTTCTTATAGGAAATTTCACTGTAATCTCTTGCATATATGTTGGTGGAAATAACAAACATGTAGACATAGAATAATAGTGACCATTATGGGGAATTTCTGATAAGTCAGAGTGACTGGTGATCTTTGGGTCCCCATTCTTTTTTTTTTTTCTTAATTTTTTAAATGTTTATTTATTTTTGAGAAAGAGCTCAAGCAGCAGAGGGGCAGAGAAAGAGAGTGACAGGATCCAAAGAAGGCTCCAGACTGACAGCAGAGAGCCTGACAGCAGAGAGCCTGAGAACTCATGGTGAGATCAGGACCTGAGCTAAAGTCAGACGCTCAACCAACTGAGCCACCCAGGTACCCCTCTGGGTCCCCATTCTAAATAGGCAAGGGGAAAACATCCCTAGAACATCATGAATCAGGTATCCATCCCTGATCCAATCAGCAATGGCCCCAGGTTGAGGTCACATGGTATAAACATAGCTGCCAGGTATCCATCTCTGAGCTTTCAGGGGCAATTCTATCACTAGGGTCTGTGTCAAGATCTTGTTGAAGAAACAGTGCAGACCTATCAAAGTTTCACATAAGAAATTTCTTTCAGAACTAAATACTGGAAAGGCCTCACTTATTCCTTTTCCTTGAGGAACAGGTAATTTTTTCTATGAGAATAATTAGAACACTAGAACTGCCCAGATTGCCTTCTCTCCTGTGGCCATCACTAATTTAGTGCCAAACCTACAGCCCACGAAAAGCTCTAATTTTCATGCTCCAGGTTTTCTTTGACCAATGTCTCTGATTTGGTTCATGTTTTCCCAATTCTATTTTATCTTTATTTTACTCTGTATCTGTTATCTGTAAACAGGGTCAAATTTGTTGTAGATATGAGGAATGGAAGAAAGAATGGAAGGGAAGAAAGAAAGAAGAAAGGAAGGGAGAAAGGACATAAGGAAGGAAGAAATGCCCCAATTTCTCCTCATTAATGGGATAGAGTATGATCCAGTTTCTATTACAGTCTCTTTACGAGAAACAACATTCTGACATGTATTACCCCATTGGAAAAGCAGAAAAGCAGAGACAAAATCATGGAGTTTTATTTTCCCTTGAAAAGAATAAATAACGGGAACTTGAAAAAGAGCTGGAGGTTGGTCTTATAATGGCAGGGGTGGATTAGAGACTAAAACAAAAAGAAACAACATCCTAGTATATCTCCTGTTTATGTAACTCTGCCCCAGGTAGGTATGGGGATTGAAAAGCAGCACTGGAGGGTGTTATGCTGAGCGAAATAAGTCAGGCAGAGAAGGACAAATATCATATGTTTGCACGTATAGGAGGATTAGGAGGAACTTGACGGAGGAACAAG